GCTGAACCCAGTACAGGCACAGCCTACCTACAGACCCTTGAACAAGAAGAAAATGCCTGAGAACCACTGAGTTTTGAGGCTATTTTTTGCACGGTGTTATTGCAGCAAATATCTTTCTCATAAATACTAAGGTAAACAGTGAAATTTCAGACACTGAGGTAAAAAGACCCTATAGGTTCTTAAAAGGAAGAAAAAAGAGTTTAAAAATAGAATCTGAAATGTCTTCAAACTCAGTGGTGGCAATGAGAAATTAAAAGGCAACAGCAAGGTCTTCAAATTTCTGAGAAGAGTGAAGACATTGCACATTTACAGAGTCCCAAAAGATTTACCTCCTACACACCCTTTCTCATAGACCCTGGGAATCATACTGCATCACAACAAGAGAGTAGGGGGCTGGCCTCATGGCACAGCCGTTAAGCACTGTGCAGAGGAAACCAGTCCCACGTGGCCAGCCAGACTTTGAGTCCCAGACCAGGGTTCAAGTCTCAGCCCCGTTGGTTTGAAAAACACACAGTATAGGTGTGTGTATGCCCAGAATCCTGCAGAATGGAGAACTGAAGGAAAAAGGATTGTGTGACCAGGCCCCAGTGAGGGGATCATTTTTCTCATGCACATGTGCCCTCTGTCATCCACAGGATAAGGGCGATAACAAAGTCCCAGGGATGGTATAACATGAGTTGGTAGCACCATACAGCAGGCACAGAGGGCAGAGAGCTCAGATCAAAAAACTCCAGGAGATTTGATAACATGAAGTTTGTAGACTATCCGGTGTATCTGCAAGTCTCGATAGGGTTTTTTGCGTGTTTTGGTTTTTGTTATAGGGCATGTGTGCTTGCCAAAAAAGAGACACAGAGAGGGAAAGAAATCATGCCCAGGAGGGCTGGCCATGCTGCAATTCCTTCTCCATTCTCCTCTCGGATTTCTGGGCATGCACACACATGCACCTGGTGTGATTCTCAAGCCACCATGTGCTGTACCTGAACTGCAGTTGGGAGTGGTAATCTGACACCTTAAGTACCATACCACTCCACCTGCTGGCCCCTGTCTTGATAGGTTTTTTAGACATATGGAGAAGAGTTAAGGGTTGAATTATTGTTAAGTATGAGGAAAACGAAGTAAGTGAAAAAATACGACAGTTAAGTAATTATAAAACATGCAGAAAGGGGGGGGGGAAGATCATAGTTCAATACGTCGCTCAACTGTGAATGATGTTTACACAGTCCTAATAAAGTGAACCTTGAACACTGACCTAACCACAATTTCAATACAAAAGCATTGGGAGAACATTCTCCATGGCGCTCTCATTTCTACATGTCCAGTGAGGTGCTGACTTCTGTTCTGGACCATCTTTTCATGGACTTTTCTATAGTGAACAGCTTTGGAAGATAGGTGATATCTCTGTTTGGAATAAAAGACAGAATACCTCATGTTTAACATAACTTCTTTTCCATAGTCAAGTACAGGCTTGCTTGCTACCCCTTAAAAAATTTCAGGGTCACTAAAGTCAGAGCTCCTCTCTCAGATTACACCCCCACTGCATGTGCAGGTGTCATCTGGCATCTTTTTGTCATCCTGTAGAAATCTGGGCTTGGAGCACCTGGACAAAAGTGCTGATGCGCTGGCTACTGCTGTTATTGTAATAAACTGCCCTTCATTTCTGATCTGGGATACTCATGTCTTCTACTAACACCCATGAAACTGTGGCAGGCTAACGTGTTAGATTGCAAGCATCATAAAATCAGACCCTTCACAGATCTCGACAAACTACATATCAGCAGTGGATATAAGAGAAGGAAAAGAATATAATCTGTTTCAGTAGAGAGAAGTGAAGGCACTATTCCTAAAACAACAACAAAAAACGGTATTCTAGAAAGGACAGACTACAGACACAGTACAAAGATCAGTGGTTGCCAAGAGTTAGGGAAGGATCAGTAGGCTGAGCACAGTCAGTTTTTAGAGCAATGAGAGTTTTTAAGAGCAATGAAACTATATTATAACGGTGGATGCATCATTGCAGATTTATCAAAACCTGTAGAATATTCAGCACCAATAGTGAACCCTAGTGTAATGATGTGTCCATGACGGTTCATCAGTTATAACAAATGCCCTACTCCAAGGGATTATGAGAGGGCGAGGTTGCGCATGTGTGGGAGAGAATATATGGGAACTCTACTTTCCACTCAATTTTTCTATGAAACTAAAACAACTCTAAGAAATAATCTATTAAAAAGAGAGAGGGAGGGCCCACCAAATGGGGTAGTAGTTAAGGTGTTGGACTCCCA